GCTCTCACATGTGGCTCTCGAAAGCTACGCTCTGCCTAGCGACCACAACCCGGTAAACGTCTCGACCGGCTGGCAAAACGAGGTGAGGGCATCCGTATGCACATCTCCGCACACGGTAACTCGGCTCCGCTCCCACCATCGATGGCCTGATGGGTCATAGCATCGGCTTCTCTGACACGAGGCCACAAACACTCAGCAAACTACTGACCCAGCGGCTGGAAGACCGCCCCCTTACCTCTCTTTCGCACCTATTCTCCGCCCTTCCCCTCTGCCCCTCACCCTCTCTCTCTCTGCCCTACACTCCACCCTACCCTCTTACCCGACGGTCGAATATCCCACGGATCACCTCATCGCCACCTCGAAGACAAAGCATTGTCAGCCACGCCGATGAGGGTCACATGGTAAGTGACCCCCTGGTGAGCCGAATATTGCTCTAATGTATTTGTTTTTTGATTGCTTGCCTTTGTCTGCTTGTCTGTGCTGGTCCTTCTTGTGAGCTCCATACAGCTCTGTTGAATGATTCTGCTCACCGTCTATATTTTAGCAACCAGTCGGCTTAGAGGGGAACAGAAAACTGCTTCCCGTCTCTCTGCCCTTCCTCCATCCCTCTCCTCCCTTCAAAAAGTCCTGTGACGAGGGCAATAGTGATCACGTAGGAGGCCCCGGCCAACTCGGGTCGTTTTCCCCCCCAACAAAGTCGTGGCCCATAGTGAAGTCTGGCAGCCGTCTGGGATGTCTGTGCAGCCCTATTTAGGGAGGGCACTCCTCACCCCCCCCCCCATCCCCACGAGGGGGACGAGGCTAGAAAAGACGCCGTAAACAAATGCTGGGATCACGTCCTCAGCGCGTTGGCCGTGGCTCTCAGACGGAAAACACACGGTTAAAACAACCAAACAAGGAACCATTCTCTCTTCCCCTTCCTCCTTCCTGTCGTCCCACCCCACAGGCTCATAGGGTGAGTCCGCTCACTCTCGCAGCCTGAAATGTTCGTTTCCTTTTAGACAATCCGAGGAGGAACCGACCGGAACGGAGCATGGCGCTAGTGGCTCGGGAACTGGCGCGCTACAAGGTGGACATATCTGCCCTTAACGAGACCCGGTTCCCTGAACAAGGCCATCCTGAGGAGGTGGATACCGGCCAACCTTCTTCTGGAGCGGTCGTCCCAAGACAGGGCGACGGGTTGCAGGCGTCACCTTTGTCATCCGGAACGACATCGTAGAACAAATGCCTCGTTTGTCTCCGGGCATCGACGACCGACTGATGGGCCCGCTACTGCCTCTTCGGGATCCAACTTCGCCACCATCATCAGCGCCTACGTCCCAACAATAGCCGGCTCAGAAAAGGCGAAGGCAAAGTTCTACGAAGGCCTGCATTCTTCTATGAAGATGTCGTCATGGGTTACCGCCGACAAGAAGGCCAAGTCCGTCGATACAAGGACACACTGAAGACTTCCCTGAAGCGCCTGCAAATCGGCCCGGCCAACTGGGAAGACCCCCCTCGGGACTGACCGACCTGGCGGAGAGCATTGAAGACCGGCGCTGCAATCTACGAAACCACCCGCATCACGGCCGCCAAAGCCAAACGCGATACTCGCAAATCTCAGCTGCGCCCACCTCTCAGCACCAACGCTCGACCGTCCCCAGCCTGCCCACGATGTCAACGGACGTTTCGGACACTAATCGGACTTATTGGACATCTTCGTACCAACTGCAGCATCCGGACGACGCCCACGATGCCCCGGTCCATCCCTACCCCGTCCCCCACGCTGAAAATCAACGCTGACCGCACTCCCTGACCCCCCACTACCATCCTCCTCCCCCTCTATTGCCTCAACATCCGCTACGGCGGCTCCTATACCCACAACCACTGCACACAATCCTGACATACCAGCTAACATCAATCTCCCCACCGTCAACGGCTGCAATGTGGACTCGACCCATGCATGTCTTCATTGCGACCGCACCTTCATCTCCCACATCGCTCTGGTCGGTCGCTGGGAATCTATCGCACAGAGACTGGCGAACCAGTGCCTGGAGCATCAACCTCGCCGCATTCGCCTCCACTGCCCGCACTACTCCCGCACACTCACTCACCGTATGGGCCAATTCGGGCACATGTGTATCCACGAGAGCGGAATTGACCGCAGTCTTGACACACCTGGCACCTCTTGTATGCCCACCATGCCTAACTCAACCCACACCCCGCCGTCCAGCACGCCCACCACACTCAGCACCGCTTGCACACCCACCAGGCCTACCCAAACACACCTCGTCGTCCGGCGTGTCCACCATCAACAGCTCCACCATTGCCACCATCTCCGAAACTGACAGACGCCGCGGACTTTACCTGTCCACACTGTACCCGCACATTCACCTCACGCATCGGCCTGGTCGGTCACTTGCGAATCCATCGCACGGAGACTGGCGAACCAGTGCCTGTAGCACTCACGTACCCTCGCCGCATCCGCCTTGCCTGCCCCCACCGCACTCGCAAATTCAGCCGCCGCATGGGCCTCTTCGGCCACATGTGCATTCACGATAACCTGCGGTAGACAACCACCGGCTGCGTCACAACACCACACCTTCTTTCACCAACACCTGCATCACACAACATCATCCACCACAAGCATCCAATTGCCACTTCCCACGCAAGTGGGAAGCGTGCGCCTTGACTCCGTCTCCATGCGGCTCCCTGCTGCATACGTTATCCGAGTCCGAGACTATCACGGTACGTCAAGCGCCGTGGCTTGGAAGGCTGCTGACTGGCGCCCCAACTCTGTCCACGCAGCCTGCCCAGTTGCGTGTGTTTGTGTAGAGTGGCGGACTGGTAGGCTGAGAACCAGGCCGCAACGGCTCCTTCTTAACGTGATCTACGGCCAGTTCGTGTGTGTGGCTCGCGCAAACAAGGTCACTAGATATGTCAGCCACGGCGCCCATCCCAGCACTTGTCAAGTGACCGGTTCGGACAGTGACTGGGGCCTGGGAAGGGATAGTGAGATCGACGGCTCAACCCATTTTCCTCGCTTTAAATAACCTGACGTGCATGAAGATATCACGGTCCGCTAAAAGCCGTAGCTTGGAGGGTTGCCAACTGGCGGGATAACTTGGACCTCGCAGTCGGCCCAGTGTTGTGTTTGTGTGGGGCGGCCAACTGGTGATCTAAGAGTCAGGCTGCAATGGTTTTACCCTAATGTAGCCTTTGTGGCACTCCCACTACGTGGGATCCGAGTCAAGCGTGGCGGCACGCCTAGGAGCGACTCCGGCCACGCCAGCCCCTTTTGCCGTTGTTGGTTGAAATCACGATCATTTGCTGTGTGGACTAGGGGGTGTGAAGTGGAGCGCAAAGGCGCGGGCTCGACCGTGCCATCCACCTACGCCCTTCCCCGCCTCCGCTCCTTTGGACTCTGTCTTGACA